GTCTGAAGCGCAGGTTCGGTTTTCATTCATTGTGAGCAAGGTCAAGGGTCCACTTACTTGCAGGAGCAGGGTCTAACAAAGACATACATAACCATGTGCTTAGAAAAAATGCAGGTGACAAAAACAATCTGTTGAGAAGTTACCCTTAAAAAAGAGGGGAAGAAAAAAAAAAGGGGGGGAGGAAAAAAAGGAAGCATAGCTATTATTCACTAAACATTTTAAGAAGGTAAGTAATAAGCAGACAGAAAACAAAAAACAAAAGAGAATGTTAGAAAGAGAAAAAAGTGCTATTGCATTAAACACAAACAATAAAAAATGCTAAAAATTGTTAAATTTTAGATAAAACAATTGTTAGAACTAAAAAAAACTAGCTGCAATAACACTCTATTTAAAAAACATCTAAATCCATACTCTATTAAAGAGAAAAAAAAATGAAAATGCATTACTAAAACACCTCCTCCAAACCATTCTTCCACAACTCACTGAAATAAAAGTAGTATGTTCATAACCATCTGTCTGTCCCTGATCGCATACCATTTTCCACCATATCTGACAATCTCATTCAAGGTACCTAAACAGACAACATCTTACACAATTACCAGAACAAGTCCATGAAAGCTCTTCACTGACATAGAGTGAAGTATAGAGCTTGGCATAGTTAACTGAGACAACTTCTTGTGACTGACAAGCAAAGACTTGTTCCTGGGCACAACCAGGACACCAACGAGCTGAGCCTTGGGTCTCAAAGTCACTCAGACTCGGCAATCTCTCCCCAGCAGAACCCAGCTCCCAGAGCCTACGAGAAAGGTGAACCCAACTTGGCCTTCCCACACCACCACTACCAGCAGTAGTGACTGCTGTGATATCCCAGCAGTCACTACTCTACTAGTGGGATCAGTAGCAGCAGTACTAAGTGTTTTGGGGCTGCTCGTCTTCATTAAAAAAAAACAGATAAATATTCAAGCATTCTGAAGTCATCTGACCTCTTGGTGAGCTAAATCAGCATCTCTTCCTACCTGCAATCAAATATTTTCATAATGCAACAGGAAATAGGAGGATAGTGATAGCCCAGAATATCCCTGGGACTGAATGGCTTCTTGCCAGCAAGAAGCTCTAGGATTTGAAGCCATTTCTTGCTCCTTGCATGGATATGCTGGATGAGGAGTATCACCCTTCCTGGCAATACTCAAACAGGGACAGTAAAGTCTAATTTAGATGCAGGCTCTGCAATCAGTTTATGACCAGATTGATGTAAGAAGAGGAAAATATTCCTTGGCAGCCACAAGTTARGAGCCTAATTCCTGCTATAACAGCCTTCAACCTCACGTTCTTCTCACCGTTTGGTAATAGTGAGTCTAGGCAATTCCCCCTTTCCCATTCATGCTTATTAAAACCCTATTATTTGGCACCTTGCTCTTGATTCTTGATTCATTGAATTTTTATTCTTCCTATCCCACAAAGATCAGAAAATACAGTAACTGCTGCTTTCTATTGAAAAATAAGGTTTTCCACAAAATGATAAAAAGAAATATCTTGTCATCTTGCCACATGCTTCCCATTATCTCAATAATTTTCCTGGAAATTTTTCTTTTCTTTCCCAATTTTTGCTGGGAAAGCTGTTTCTAAATTCCCATCAAAAACAGATACACACGTTACATTCATTGAATGTATGAGGTGACATAATCCCGCATTAAAAAGGAAGTATATTAAGTATATTAGACAGTCCTTTGGTTTGTTAGGATTTGCTACAACAAAAAGAAGAGTGATCAGTGCAGGGAAAAAAAAATGTGTGTTCTGGTGCAGCAACAAAATGGGTTCCTTGGTTTTGTTTGAATACACTGGAAAAACAGATCTGCCCAAACCTGAGCATCCATGGGARGATTTGGTGGACAGGAAATTTAACTCTGAATCTCCCCTAAAATGGGATCCTTTCCCAAGGATGAGGAGGAAGATGCCTTTCTCTTCCTCTCCTCCCTGCTGCCCATAGTTGGAAGAGAACAATTTAAGTACGATTTAATTACTCTTAAATTACAATTTAATTTACTCTTAAAAAAAGAACATTAAGAATGGTGACCACAGTCTTCTGAGTTTCATCAGTTTAAGCCAACTCATATTTCACTGCAAAAAGAAATCAAAACTTTCCATGTGTATAAGGAATATTATCGAATGATATAATCATTCCCGAACAGTAGCAAAAGTCTGCAAACAGGATAATGTCAAGTCTAATGACATGAGCAAAAGATGATCTCAGGCTGACAGACAACAACTGTGAAAAGACAGAAGTATTCCCAGAAGCACTTAACTTTTGAAGACTGTACCTTAACATGGAAGCACATGCTTTGTAATTCAAGTAGGTACTTTTATCCCAGTAGAATTTAACATACATTGACTAAATAGCCACTTTTCCATCATGTAAATGTTACCAGGTCAAGAGACAGTTAGATCTATTTTAAATTATTTGGTTCACAGAATCTAGACCTATCCTCAGAAAATGTACTGCACAGAAACATGAATATGATTATCCATAAACACATAAAATTACCGATGCCTTTTAGTCATTAACTATGCAGTTTGCAGTACCTTCTTTTACTGTGTTAAAAAGTATTTTTGAAAGTAGAGTAAAAGAGAAGAGTACATACATTTGCTAAAAGGCTCAGTAGTAATTACATCTTTCAGAAAGTCACTCAATTTTTTTACTTAGAAATGTTATTTATATAGTGAAGCTACCATATATCAAATTAAAAGAGCTCTATAAATTGTCAGGGTATTAAAAAGAAGTGAAACATCTGATGGCTGAGAAATTCTACAAAAATGTTTCAGTTTTACTGCGGCAAAGTTTTTAACCATCAGGCCATAGCTTAGTTCTATCCAGAACAAGGGTTTTATAACCTTGATTACAGTTTGATCAGGTTTTTACGCATCAAATGGATTTGTAAAAGTGGATAAACCGTTATCAATTTATCTTTGGTCTCTTTCAAGACTCAATCTTTAATTCCTTCTTTCAGTATTTTCAATGGTTGGTGTCGATTCATTCTTAAAAAAAGCATTATATTTGCTGAACAAACTCTCATGAAGACTCATTTAATCTTTTTGTAAATGGTCTCATTTTCAGAATAAAAATTACATGCTATCATTACATATTATGAAACAAAATSTATATGGTGATTCAAAATATCAAAAAGTGCATAAAATCTACAGCCAAACTCTGAATATTTAAACATCCACCACAATACATAAATACATCAAATAACATCTATATCATAAGAAAATGTAGTAAGTGTGTGCAACAGTCTTTAGACCACGTAACAGTTCTCATGGATTGATTTGTATCTAAATACATGAATAGAGACAAAGAACAGATCATACCATGTGTCATTTTGACTAAAGAAAAATTTTCATATACGCTTCTCTGCATGCATGGAGTAGATGCAGCACAGAGGCTTTTCATTTTCTTAACGAACAGCAAGACAGGACTTTGCCACTACCAGAGATGACAGCAAATGTCCCACCGCACTCCAGCATTGCCTTTCCAAGTCGTGAACARCTGCCCGTTACCACTGCACGATCCTAGGCCATATGTTTCCACGATTTATGTGGAGATTTTCTTAAAACTCCATAAAACTTCAAAAAAATTATGAGTCTTCTGGGCATTCTAGTCAAAAATTACCGTAACCAGCCAAAGAAATATGCCTGTAGATTTTACACGATGACAATTTATGACTATCTGCATAAAATATGTCATTTTGCAAACAGAGTAGCTTTAGCACAAGAAACCAGAATCTACTTGCACAGAAGGAAAGTCAATCTTTTGGATACCTTTCTCAAAGGCTGAAGCTTCGTAGGGCAGATTTTTCTTATTTTTTTTGTTGAAAGTGCTAAACTACAAAAATTTACCTGCATTACACCTACAATTACTATTTCCCCAAGGAAAGAGATGCCTGGGTCATTCTCCGTGACCTGAGCACACCAGCAGCTTCAAACATGCACGAGGGATGTTTTCAGACAATATTTGAAGGAAGAGGGAGAGTTAGACTTAAGAAACAAAAATAAGAAATGGCAGCCTAAGAAGCATTGATGATCACGCTATTTGTGAGAAAAATCCTTGCTCACTTTCAATATCTGGGCTATTCATCAAATATAGTCTGACACATGCAGAACAGAAACCACCAAGACTTGGACTGCTTGCCCTTCGAGATCAGTTGATYGCTACCAGTGTCCCTTGATCAGCGCTTTAGTGACAGGAACATCACTAAATACAACTCCCTGGAAGTTGAACGGGTGGAAAATAACCTCTCTCTTGAATATTGTTAGAGTACTTCTAAGCCAAAGTCACATATTGGGKTTTTTTTTTGCCCCCACAAAGAAAACTAACAAGAAAGGCATATGTAAGCCAAAGTAGACAGCAGTGGGTCTGGGATAAGTCCCCAGAGATAAAAAGGGTTAACTGTTTTGGAAGCGTTTGTACAGAAAGAGAGACCAAGAAATGAGCGGGTGCCATCCTGAATGGTCCACAACCTCGCCAAGCCCCTGTTCTTGCTCCTGGAGACTCGTGCCCCAGTGCTCCCCCTCCACCCACTCTCAGAAAAGCACCCTTGCCAGAAGGGGATGGTATGGAAAGCGGCAGCTTTGTATGAATGAAGAATAATAAAACTCATATAGATCTCAAAAATTATGRGACTGGCGGGGAGCGGGAGCAAGGAGGTGGGAAGTGATTGTTACAAAGATATTTCATGCCTTGTCCTGTTCATCAGGTTAATCATTGCCTAAGCCTCTTCATAATGCAGTGAAACACCAATTTCTGCATTCTATATTTAACTAGAAAACAAATCTAACTGAAACACACACAAAAAAAATCATAACAAACAAATTAAAAGTGGTGTTTTTTAAAACTTGAACTTCTTCACGCTACACCACAACACCTTCCCGGGGCATGCCCTCCAACTTCTTAACCTTTCCAGCTTTCTTAAGATAGACTAGCTGTAAATAAATAAATAAAGTTCATGCAGGCAGCACTTTGGACCCGCTGCCAGGCAGCCCGGGAATCCCTCGCTGTTGGGACACAAGAGCCCTCCAGTCCTGCTTCCCATAGAGGGAAGCGGGAACCAGGCATGGCACCGTGGRGCACTGGACAGAGCACTGGCGAACGGACTCGGGAGCAGCACTTGTGCATGTGCCTGAGGGCGTCCGTGTCTTTTAAAGATTTCCTCCCCGAGGATGAGCGGCTCTTTCCACACGCGCTGCCAAGCTCCATCCTTCCCTCCCCGGCCGCGCGCGGCACTGGGCGTGTAGCAGGGCCCTATGTAACCCCCGCCGGCGCGGCCGGCCCCGCCACAGCCGCCGCGCTGCGCCGCGCACCGCTGCGCC